CAAATGGGCTTTCATCACCATCCCTGTGTCCTCTGTCCTTCACTCCCTATCACCTCTTCCCAACAGTCTGTCTTTCTCAACTGGCCACAGTGTCAAAGGCAGTTATACATTTTTATAGAATCTGTTTAAAGACATTTTATAATCACTGATCAGAATTTTAAAACCAATTCTGGTGGCTCTTTTAAATTTCTCTCTTTAAAATACTAATTGACTTCACCTTTAGGTAGCCTGGATTGATTTTCCCCTCTAGGGATCACAGAGGTCCAGATAGTGTTTCATACCCGATGCTATGATATTGCTTAACTTTTCCATTTTATCAAAGTATTTTTAATTCACAAAGACAAAACTAAGGTATCCTGAAATATGCTTTAAAATTATTTTTTCCCAAAAGTAGTACCATCTGCTAGTTTTCATTCAATTCATCAGAGTGCATTTCTTTCAGCATCTAACAAGCTTTCTGATTCCCTCAGCAAGAGGAAGATGTTTAACAGGGAGGTTCCCTCTGCATTTTTTATTTTTCACCCGTGAACTTGCACCCCCAAAGGACATCTTTTCATGGCCCAAACAGTGGTGGAGATCACTCGATGGAATAATGCTTGGCAGCTGTTAGGGCAGCTTCTCAACTTTTGCTTGGTTTAGCTCATTCTGACAATAAATAGCAAAGGCCTTCTTCTGCTTTTCTGGAGGAAATGTAGCCACTTCTAAATCATCACAAACACTGGACCAGCTCTCCCTGCAAGTAGCCATCGCCACCTGTGTGCCCCCGCAGTGAGGAGGCCCTCAACTTACACAACATCACCCTCCCAGACCACAGGGAAAGGCAGGATAGGAGAAAGAAATAGGAGATGCGGCTGAACAAAGCAGTGTGTCTAAACTCTGAGCTAAAGAATTTGAGTCTATTCTTGGATATAGCCAACTTTGTTTTCCACCTAAGGAAGTAAATGCCAAGGTTGTATCCAGCATAAGTGTGATGTTGAGGTGAGCTAGAACCTCACAGTCTTCAGGAACCAAGCTGGCTTTCTCATACCCCTACTTTCAGGGTCTCAAGAAAACTGGCTTCCAGCTGGGCATGGTGATGCATGCCTGTAATCCCAGCACTTGGGAGTCTGAGGCATGAGGATTGCTGTGAGTTCAATACCAGCCTGGGCTACATAGTGAGTTCCAGGTGAGTCTCAACTACATAGTGAGACTCTGTCTTCAAAAAAAGAAAAAGAAAAAGAAAACAGGTTTCCCCTCTCTAAGAGATCTGCAAACTGCTGATGGTTGCCTGCCCATGGTCTAGCTCCTCTGTTCATATGTGTAATCTTGTTCATTCCTGTGTCATTAGTGGAGCAAAGCGCAGTTTCTTGCTGATTTCCACAAGACATCCACGGTCACTGAGCATTGTGTATGATATTTTAAGTTTATGGAATAGTTAGAGTTGGGAGAGGGATCACACATTGAGTCATCCTCTACCTTTCACTTGTTCTACAACACTCCCAGCCATCCTCTTTTAGTTTTTGAGTCCTTCTCAAGAATAACCTACAAGTCTCTCTCCTTGGGCGTGCAGAACAGTGTCCTGGATGCTGCTTGTCCATACAGACATCTCAAGCTGCTAGTCATTTTAATGAGAATCATTTCCAAGCCCCAAAGGGTCACTGGAAATAGAACACTTGGCTTCCCCTACTTCTTCCTTCCGTTTCTCATGACTAGATTAGGTACAAAGTCCTGGGCTGCAGGAAGACCCTGATGATCCCCAGCAGCGCAAACCCACATCTGCCCACACTTCACCGGGCTGAATGTCACCCATGATCATTTCACAAATTAGGGAACTCAAGTGAAAGGATGACTCCAATTTAGGATTAAAAGGACCCTGTACCCTTCCCCAACCCCCTAGGCATTATGGGAGAGTGACCTGGAATGTCAAATGCAGAGAAGGGTCCCAAAGTATAGGAGGCTTGTTTGAGGCATGGTAGAACCTATTAGATAGAGAAATCGGTCTGGAAATCTTATTAAAAGAGACAAATCATTCTACAGTCTCTCCAGACTGAAAATGTTGGGAGTAATAGACTTTCCCTGATGCCTTGGATCCATGCACTTCATGTTAGGATCACAGCCAAACTCTGGCCAGGCTAAATTCAATGCAGGTGATAAAGGCAATTATTTTTTTAAATAGGCAGTTCTGATTAATTCCAATTTCTCTGGCCAGCCACAGATTTATCTGCACCAGTTCCTCATTACTGCAAAGGTTGCAAGGCAGAAGAGCCAATGGCAAAGAGAAATGAAGTTCAAATTGTGGATTTGTCATTACTGCAAAGCTCAGCAGCAAAAGATTGTCCATCCGTAGAAGTCCCCGTGGCCAGCTTTCCCCACCCACCCACACACTCACATCTCCTTTCTCAGATGCTCCTTTAACCCTTGATGGAGATGCTGGGAAACCAGGGCACTGTTGCCTTGTGAGACTGAATCTTGCACATTGTTTGCTACTTATGAGGGGTGATAAGAAGAAGACTCCTTCAAATTAATTACAGATGGTCTCCAGCTTACAGCATTTTTTTTTCTTTACAATGCTTTGAAAGTGGTATGCATTTAGGAGAAACTGTACTTCAAAGTTTGAGTTTAGATCTCCTCCTGGCCTAGCACTATCAAGGACTGTCCTGTGTCTGTTGATGCTGGGCAGCAGCTGCAAGCTGCAGTTTCCAGTCAGACACAGGGTCAGGAATGGAGACAATAAAAATGCTACAGTGTGCAGTACTGTAGTGGCCTGCTAAGTCATGATGTTTAGTGGGTTAGGGGTAGTAAGTGTGTTTCTTACTTATGATATTTTCAACCTATGATGGGTTCATGGAGATGTAACCTTGTCACAACTCAAAGAACATCTATATAATGGTAATGATATAATAGCAATGATTATATAATAATTAGATTATAAATGTAGTATAATTAATTGCAATCTCAGATAAGTGTTTACTCCATACCTGGTACTGTGTTGGTGGCTTTATTTACATTAATTATTTTCTTTATCTTCAGAATAGCCTTACAGGAGAGGAGTTGGCAAACCTTTTCTGTGAAGGGCCAAATAGGAGACATTGTAGGTTTCTCAGGCCACATGATCTCGTTGAAAGTACTAAACTCTGTGGTCATAGCCTGAAGCACTCAGAGGCAATACATAAACACATCAGTGTAGCTGTCCTCCAATAAAATTGTATTTATAAGATTATACTTACTGTGGTCTTTGGGCCACAGCATTCTGACTACTGCTAATAAGGTGCATGGTGTTATCCCTGAGCTAAATTTTGGGTTTCCACACTTAGACAGAAGACATGAGTTCCCTCTCTTACATCCCCTTCCTCCCTTTTCTTCTCTCTAATTCTAGTTCTGGGGGAAGGAGAAAATAATAGACATTTTGGTATATGACATCCTAAAGTGAGTTGTTTGTTGCCATCCACAAAGGAAGGAACAAATCATTCCCTTCCTTGAAAACCCTGCGTCAGAGGAGGCCACCACACAGCCCTGGGTCACCTGTGTCAGTCTAGCTCCCTGTCTGCAGGCTGAGCATGGGTGAGGGCAGACTCTGCTGATGCCAGCCTTTGTCTCCAACTGTCCTCAGTAGACTTCGTGCATCCTTATGAGTCCTGGCTACATCTCCTGGGCAAGGCCCCAATTTCCTTTTCTATCACATGACTCATTTCAGTGTCGGGGTGGCCCCAGCAAGCTTGCAGCCCCAGGCTTGCTCTCTGCTGCGGCCTACATCTGGGACTTATAGATCTGGGCAAGGCTTTTGTGCCCCTTGGGAACCAGGAATCTGAGGGAGCATGCCTTGCCCTTTTGCAGCCATACACCCTGCCAGTTACCTCAGTATTTTTCCCCAAGAAAAGTCATCTAGCAGCTCAGCAGATACAGGGGGATGAGTATCCATCTCTCTTTCTAATGACACCTATAATCTTAAAGAACAATTATTATCTTAGACTATGATCTTCTCAGTCTGTATACTGCTGGTATTTGGGGTCCGATAACACTGAGAGAGAAGCCCTGGTATGCGCTGTGGGATATTCAGCAATATCCTTGCCTTAACTCACTAGTTGTCCACAACAATCCCTAAGTATGATGATCAAAAATGTCTAGGAAAAGCTGGACATGGTGGTGCATGCTTGTAATCCCAGCACTCAGGAGGCTGAGGCAGGAGGATCGCCATTAGTACAAGGTCAACCTGGGATATAATGAGTTCAAGGCCAGCCTGGACTGCATAGCAAGACCCTGTCTCAACTCCCCACCAAACACAAAAAATCTGGGACATGACAGGTATCCCCTGGGGGTTGAGGTGATATCCTCTGTCTTAAAATGAGGGATAAGCATCATCTATTGCTCTCAGCTGGGGGGTTCTAATTCCCAATTTCAGAAAAATTTAGAAGGATCATCAGCAAGGTCTCTCAATACCAGGTGACTTTTCTTGTGGTGCAAGGGAAACAGAATTATCCTCAATTTACATGCAAGAAAGCTGAGGTCTAAGACACAAAACTAGTAACCAAAAAACCTGAATTTGAGCTCAAGATTATTAGAGGCCAAAGCCTATATTTTTTAAATTAGTCATGAGCTGATCATGAACAAACACTGTGTAAGTCTTCCTGGAATGGCAAAACATTTGCCATGACTTTCATGATGGAAAGAACAAATTGTGTCTGTCCTTCCCTTAGAGCATTCTATCTAATCCTGATGGCAGCATTTAGAAGTAGACACTATTCTATTCTTTCCATTTTATAGATGAGGAAACTGAGGTCTACCAAGGCTAACACATGGTTTGAAATCAGCAAAACGAAGCTGTTTAAGAATAGTTTCTGGGTTCAGAGCCTTGGCGTTTCAGCATCCAAAAAGTGGGCATCTACTCTCGCATAGGGGAGCTGGGTCTGACTTACTATGTGATGTTCTGCCTTTCTGGCCAATGTGCCCTGCCAACAATAAGAAAGCCTTGGAGATAAATGTCCCTCGCTTTGTCCTTGGCTCCCTTTTTTATTTTGCACCAGCTCTGCATGCAGTACTGGCCTGAGAAAACGTCTGGGTGCTATGGGCCCATCCAGGTGGAGTTTGTCTCCGCAGACATCGACGAGGACATCATCCACAGAATATTCCGCATCTGCAACATGGCTCGGGTAAGTGTGCGGCCTCCTTTTGCAAAGCAGATGGGAGTTCCTGGGAGAGGAACCTGTGGAGGCAGCCAAGTCTATGTGACACTCTCTTGGTAATCTCTTCCTTGGGGAAGTGAAGCCTTTGCAGATTCCGGCTCCAGACCCATCAATGACACCAACACAGAGAGGTGCAAAGAGCGACATCCAGCCTGCCATCTGCCTATTTCCTGATACACTTGCTGCCATGTAGACCAAACTTCCCAAGACATTAGCTCTGCCACACCATTTTGGCACCAGCCGATACAGCCTTTGGCTGATCCTATAAGCTTTGGGCTGGGTCCCACACATATCAAGATGAAAAATAAAGAGCTGATTTAATGAGGATATATATTCACTGGGATGGAGGAGTGTTGGGTTAGAGGAAACATAATGGTAATCCATAAAATGGTGGCCCACTATTGATCTCCAAAGTGAATGGGGTTCAGTCTCTACTTTCAGAGTTCACAATCTAATGGGAAGGTGAGATACAGTTTGAATATGAACCTCAGGAAGAGAGAAAAACCATGCTCACTTGAATCAGGGATGGTATCCCTAAAGCAAAGGATATTAGAATTTGGTTTTGATGATTGAGGAGTTTTCCAGGTAGAAAGAAGAGAATCAGTGTACACAAAGGCATAGTAGGTAAGAGGATATTCTGGCACTTCCATGATGACATGAGTCAGAGCCCATTTAGTCTGCCTTGCAGTAGGCAGCAACCCTGATGGTACCTGGATGACTTGCATCCCCGTCAGAATAACCTTACCAAGCCCTCTGTTCTCAGCCCCAGGACGGATATCGTATAGTCCAGCACCTCCAGTACATTGGCTGGCCTGCCTACCGGGACACACCCCCCTCCAAGCGCTCTCTGCTCAAAGTGGTCCGGAGGCTGGAGAAGTGGCAGGAGCAGTACGATGGGAGGGAGGGACGCACTGTGGTCCACTGCCTGTGAGTATTATGGAAATGTCTCCAGAACAACGAGATGATGGGTGGGAGAGCACGGTTACGGATGCTCCCGGCCACATGCGCCAGTCCTAGGCATGTTTGGCTATACCACACCTCAATGTCCATAGACACCAGTGGCAAATATATTCAAAGGAATTACAATCCTTGAATAGGCTGAAGTCTCTAGTTGTCTTAAACTATTTTTATATGACATACTCCTATTGACGCAAAGCATGGAGGAAGCGGGCCACTCCCCCAAGTGCTTCCAAAAGCAGGTGTGCCCCACCCTTCAAAAGAAGCTTCATGTATTGTGCTCGTTACAAGCAAGCTCAGAACATGGTGGGACCCTCTAATCAGAACCCCCTTTATTATTTCCTGAAAAAGAAGACAAGAGAAGGCAGTGAGATAGCTTAATGAAAGCCCAGTACTTTAAATGAATCACCTCATTCCATCTGCCGAGTAGAGATTATCATTTTGTAGTGCGGTAACTGAAGCACAAACAGGGTAAAGGATCAGCGAGTTGAGACAGGAGCTGAGATCTGTGGTCACTGGACTTTAAGATAATGTACCATGCACTGACTGCCACTGCCTCCGAGTAAACTAAAGGACTCACCCACTGAGGTGGCCTCCTGCGACATCTGCTGTGGGCTTAGTGGGCACACGGGGACACAGAAAGCATGAAAGCAAGACTCTACTCTGAGGGGCTGTGACAAGGCCACAATTAGTGTTTCTACCTCCATTACTGTTATGAACTGGAGCTTTTACTTCTGTCTTAGAACTGGCACGGCACGGCACAGTCAAATGGACCCCAATGTCATTATGCTCGGTGAGAGTCAGAACCTTAGAGGACTACGGTTGACAAGCAGCACAGCATTAGGAAAATCACTTATTTTGTGACCCTCCATTTTATCATTTTTCCACTGAGTGTAGAATTAGATCATCTTTAGATCCTGTAGTGCTTTGGCATGAAACAGAAAATATTAATGATACGTCTATCAATATAATGATCAACAGTGTCGTGTCTACGTTATACAAATGCTATAAAGGAAATTACTTAAAAGGGCAAATGTCGGACTCCACCTTTAGAGTATAAAGAGAGAAGGATTCTACAAGGATCTCAGACCCGTAGCAAATCTGTAGCCTGAACGGCTTTGTGTGGAATGTGTGATTTGCAATCAATCACTTTGCTTCTTAGAACTTAAATGACTTGGGAACAAATGACTGAGAGGGCCCCCCTCTTTAAAAAGTGTTCTTACATTTGGTTGAATCAATGCCTTCTCTTTTTCAAATTAGTTCTGGATCAAGTAGAGGCATTACTAACATCTCACTGATCTCAACATTGTCTTTTCAAAACTATCTAATTGCTCAATTTTTTTCAAATAGGCAGTGCACACACAGTCTGGAAAAGCCAGAGAGCTCAAAGAAGGTTAAATATACCATGCACTTTCAGAGCTTAAGAGATACTACTGTAACAAAAGCCCTTCCAGAAAGGAGCTGTGTAGTGTGCCCTGTGTGTGTTGGGGTGGTTAGGAAACACCAGCCAGGCCAATCTGACTCTGCCTATTTCCCAGAACCTGGTAGCTGACACCCAGTCAGCTATCCCTTGCTCTCTCCAGTTCCCTGCCACGTAGTCAGATTGTCCCAAGAGTAGCACAGGGCCACAGAGCCTCTTGGGCTCTGCTGTTCTTGCTTCAGAAAATATTGACCCTGTTTTTCCTAGGAATGCTACTACTCTCTCATGTGATTTTTAGCCTGCTCTTTTTTTTTTTTTTTTTCCAGAAGTACCTTTTT